ATACAGGTGATATGATCTTCAAAAAATCATTGGCCAGACATTTTAAAACTGTGCTCACAGAAAATCACCCCAGTGTTGTCAAACTTGTGTCTGTCAAGAAAAAAATAAACTTCTCATAAATTAACAAACAACAAAAAAGCAAACAAACAATATGCAGTGCAACATAATCTGTACAAACAGAGCTTGACAAAATTATATTTTTTACCAAAGTATTGTTAATATTCCATTTAATTCTTTAATATCTATGAATGATCATGACTTTGAGCAAATAATCAATTTGTATTGAATAACTCACCTCCCATTGTTCCATTGTCAACATTGCCATACCTGAAAATAAAACAATCAAATCCACTTTAGAAAACCACACGTAGGAATGATAATGGACTGAAGCGAACACAAATATTTCAAAGTGTGCAAGAATCACCAAGATATACCTACGGTGGAGTTTTAAATCGCCAGTGAATTCGCAGAAAGTAGACGACCAGGACTGCACAGAGAGCGATGGCAGCTACTGAACCAACAAGACCTCCTGTACAAAACAAAAAGACACAAACTATCAGAGACTGTGTCTGTTAGTGTCATGAAGTAACAAAAAAAATCTTACAAAGCAACTGATGGAGTAGGATGAACCAGAATGGCAGTTTTTACGGATTATAAGAGGTGTACAATGTTACAGTTACCTGTAGTTCTTCTAGTTATTGTACATGTATGAATTCCACCAAATACTATTAGATTACAAAAATCAGTGCTTCTCTTCTTCATTTTATACTTTTATAATATTTTCTTCTCAGCTTGTGCACAGATTAGGGACACTTTTGTTGAAGCCTCATTTTTTGGGTCACTGTTCAGCTGGACACTTGATTAAACTCGCCAAAAATCTAGCTTCTAGTTATGTACATTGTATTATAACGTTAACTGTTATAATACATTACAAGAAGCTAGTTTTTGCTCTTGTCTAATTGGAGAAGACAGCAAAGGAGAGAGAGAGAGGAGATAGATGGAATCCGTTTTCTTAGGAAAACCTCAGAATAAATAATCTAGTCAAAGGACTCCAGTCTTACCAACAACAGCTCCCACATTGACACGAGGCTGCTGCTCTGTTTTATGCTGATTCTGGCTGGTGGAATCTGTAACAACACACAAAGAAACTTTAGACATATATACCAGTCTCCAGTTTAATTCCGGAATTCATGTAAAGTTTAATTCCGGACAAATTTGCATCATCTCAGCAGCCTTACATCTAGATAGGCTAATATAGGTAAAAATGATGTAAGAAAACATACAATATTTAGCAGCAATTGAGGACCCTAGGGGATTAACCCAATTCTGTAGAATTCTGCAGAGAGTTCTGGGAACTGGAGCCAGAATTATGCAGAATTGGGAATTAAACTGGAATTCCATAATTACCCCCAGTTATAATCCACTTTTTTACTCCATACACAGTAATATGTGCAAATCTTTATGATGAAATTATACCTTTATTAGCTGAGGTGGTCATCTTTGAAAACGAAGGGACCTTCTCAGTCTTCTTAGATGTATATTCAGGACCAGGAGACTGGGAGGGTGTCACTGGTAAAGATGTGGACAGTGGAGATGTTTTTGCAGCAGTGGTTCTTGTTGTTGGAACTGATGTGGCTGTTGTTGTTGTTGCTGCTGCTGTTGATGTAGTTGTAGTTGTTGGAGGTGGTGTTGTAGGTAATTTAGTTGTAGTTGGGGTGGTAACTGTGAGCAAAACATTGTGTTACACACGCGCGGAGACAGTCATTGAAATGTCGGCTCTTGCTACACAAGTGGTTGTGAATCTAAACTTTGATATTCAATCATTCACCGTTACCTGATGACACTATTCACGGACATAGCATATCTAGTTTTGCTTACATTACAAAATGTGTCCGTACTGGTATGATATTCATGTTTACCAAAGGAAAACATTGTTTTTGCTGTTTCATCTTCTTCTCCAAACAAATATTAAATAAGGTCAATGACCTGATCCAGACATCTGTCACCATGGTAACTAGTGTTGGGTTACATCATGTTACAATTTTGAAGCAGGAGGTATTTAGACTCCTGTCTGGTCATGTGTTTGAGTCAGAATTAACAGAGCAGACAATATGTGAAGGTATAAACATTATGAATTTGCTTTGCAAATGTTACCTTTCTAAATATAATGAAAATCCGTACCTGCTATACACGTTGGCACACTCCCCTCCCAACCATCAGAACCGCACGTAATCTGTGAGCTCCCAGACAGGATGTACCGATCATTGCAAGCAAAACGTGCCACGTAGTTATACTGCCACTCTGCTTGTGGGTCCACAATAAAGCCATTGGCTGGTGGGGTGGGATCTGGGCAAGTTGACGCTGCAAAGGTGCAAGTTGTCAGATTCGATGGGCAAAAAATGCAGTCATACTTTGAGAGAGTATCTAGATCTTTGATGCTGCTCACACAATGCAACAATAGGAACTAGACTGAGTAAAGAGACTCTTTTTACACAACCAAGTCTTCTCACTAGTAGAGCTTTCGACCAGTCAATATGGTCTTCTTCAGTAGACCAAGTGAGACGTCAACACTGGAAAACAAGCCCTATCGCTAATTCTAACCCTAACCAAGCCCTCACCCTAACCCTCACCCTAACCCTAGCCCTAACCCTAGCCCTAACCATAACCTTAAGGGGGCACACCCCAGTTTATTTGGGGCCTCTTTTCGAAGCTGCACACCCTCAAATCTAGCGACCGTCTCTGGCGTGGAATACTTCGGAAGGAGAATAACTGTATATGGGACGAAAGGGTATCTCTTCAGCTACAAGACAAGCTGAGTTTGGTTTCTTCAACCTTTTTAAGTTTGGTAAAATCAACGGAAAAAACATTATTTTCACTCCAAAATTAATGCCCAAAATTGCGAATTTTCGCGTAGGATAATCCCACAAAAAAAAATTTTCCGGCAGAAATGACTGATGCTGGCAGAAAGACCCAAGCCTTGACTATACCCGAGTAAATTATAAAGAAAATTCTAGTACTGTAATTTTCTAAACAGTCCACGGCGCGAGGGGTTGCAAATCCACCCCTACGAAGCCACAGAGCGAAAACTAGGTCAAACGGGCGGATTACACTTGGCGCGCAAGGATACCCGGAAGTAAGGTTCGGAGCCAAAAGAAATTTTCACCCCAAAATCACCATTTCTTACACTCTTCAGCCATGTTAATGTTTAATGTATACTTCGTGGCAGTTTATAAGAAATGTCACCTCAAACTTGGACCCTCAAAACCCTTTCGTCACTTTTTTACAACGGACTATCACGGAAGAACTGGGGTGTGCACCGTTAACCCTAGCCCTAACCCAAGCCCTAGCCCTAGCCCTAGCCCTAGCCTTAACCCTAGCCCTAACCCAAGCCCTAACCCTAACCCTAACCCAAGCCCTAACCCTAGCCCTAGCCCTAGACCCTAACCCTAACCCTAACCCAAGCCCTAGCCCTAGCCCTAACCGTAACCCTAGCCCTAACCCAAGCCCTAACCCAAGCCCTAACCCTAACCCTAACCCTAGCCCTAACCCAAGCCCTGACCCTAACCCTAACCCTAGCCCTCACCCTAACCCTAGCCCTAGCCCTAACCCTAACCCTAGCCCTAACCCTAAACCCTAACCAAGCCCTCACCCTAACCCTAGCCCTAGCCCTAACCCTAACCCTAACCCTAGCCCTAACCCTAACCCTAACCCTAGCCCTAGCCCTAACCCTAACCCTAGCCCTAGCCCTAACCCTAGCCCTAGCCCTAACCCTAACCCTAACCCTAACCCTAGCCCTATCCCTATCCCTATCCCTATCCCTAACCCTAACCCTAGCCCTAACCCTAACTCTTAAACCCTACACCCTAACCCCTGTTGGAACAAAAGTTTAACCTTTGAACATGTAACTACCAACACAGACTGAACTTTCATGATAAGGCCACACCGATTTAATTTTATGGATGACATCCGCGCGCGCATTGATTTTCGCCCGATCTCAACAAAAAAAAAAATCACGTCTTCCGAGGCTCTGGACTGGCTTTAGGCCTGGGTAGTCCATGGTGGTGATAACTCTGGTGGACGGCAGCCAGGCTACCAAAGCTCCAAGACTCAAGAACTCAGTACATACGTACAGTGTCGATTCATAAATTCCGCAAAAATCCAGCATGTGCCGGCTTATCGCACTGTGGGCTTATCGTATACGTCGCTATGTAATGCGCCAAATTCACAATACCAGCTTTGCATTCCTGTGGTTTAGTAGCATTTTTATTTTTGGCTGGATTTTTCTTTTTTTCGCCCGCACGCACTAGTTTGGGGGTCTTCAGAGGATGTCATCCATAAAATTAAATCGGTGTGGCCTAAGCTACAACTTACGTATACAAGTTCGGTCATTTCCAGACCACGTCCCGTCTGCTTGGCACACTCCATAGACTGAGCCATTGATGGACAAACCAGGATTGACGCAGTAGTACAACACAGTGGATCCATACAGAAAACCCCTCATGCTTTCTAATGTGCCGTTGACTCTATTATAGTAAACTCTGTGGTCACTGTTGCGAGGGTATCCGCACGCTTTAACTTAAAAAGGAGAAGACATTTTGGAGTTAAAAACAGTTCAAGAAACAAACAGATGGTCACAAGTAGCACATTCCTTATTTCATCCATTGAAATATCATGAAAATAATGGACAAAATGTCTTAATATGTAAAATTGTGCATCTGTAGGCAAATTACATGAAGGAGTTGTCTAAAGTATCTTTAGAGGAATTGTAAGGCCAGACTTAATTTTAAGGATCATGACATCCTTTGGAGAGGGAATTACAAAATGTAGTTTTTGCTGAGTGACATTCTACTTCTTTGATTTTATATGGTGCATCCCCCCCCAAAATTTTTGTGCACCCAGTTTCATAGGTTGGGTGCACCACTGCACCTATTCTCAAAAATGAATTTCGAGCCCTGTACAGTGATTTAGACACATTCCAGCGCAAACGTCTTAGAACCATCCTAGGTATTTCCTGGAGGGAACATGTTACAAATGAGGAGCTCATGCAGAGAGCCAGAGTTACCCCTCTCAGTGAGATGGTAAGGGAGAGAAGATTGAGGTTTGCAGGTCACGTGTGGAGGCTCACAAACAACAGAACAGCTAGAATAGCCATGGACTGGAAACCAGAGGGGAAACTCCTGAGGGGTAGACCTAGAACCACCCTCCGTAGAACTATCCTAAACGATGGGAAAAAACTGGGGTTCGATACACTAGAAGACAAAACAGAAGTGCCTGAAGAAGTAATCTGTCAGAACTACTAGTTGACCGATGCAACAGTAGTTGCGGGAGGATCTAAGGTGTAAGGTAAGGTACAGTGATGACTAGATATCTTACTTCTGCATATAGGCACTTCGTTGGTCCAAGTGCCATTAGCACGACATGTCCTGCTGTCTTCTCCCAGTAACTCGTAGCCGATGTCACAGTAATACGTGACGTTGTTTTGGTATGTGAACTCCGGTGCAGTGAAGTTTCCATTCTCTGGTATTCCTGGCTTCCCACATTCTACAGCTGAACAAAACATATCAGAAAAGTCATTTAATAGACAGCATGTAAGTACAGGATTTATCATTGCCTATTCCAAATATTGTTAAGATCATAATAGATAGTTTGTGTTGGGTAATTTTGCTACAGTGTGGAGTACCTTAGCTTGTTTTCATATGTTCTGCCAGTGACCTATCCTAGAATATGCGCTACTCAATTGTGGTAAGGAGGATAGAAAACTAATTTGCACAACTGTCTAGCCCAAAAAAGGTCCCATTCCACTCCATGCAGAGCATAGGGGTGGTGCCCATCTCCATTTCTGTAGCCCTTGGGCCACGCAGTTGTGCAAGCACTACAGCAGGGGACTAGCCCTGGTAGTGTTTTGTGTTTGACCTTTCCATTTTCTCATACCCGTAGATGCTGAGTGCTAAGCAGAGAAAGTACCATTTTTCAAGTCTTGGTATGACCTAGCCGGGGTTTGAACTCACGACCTCACGGTTACAAAGCGAGTAGTCTTCCCAACTACATGTAATGGACCTATCACATTATTACGTCACAGTTTGTTTACCGCAATGAATGCCGGTCAATCGACGTTTATATTGTACAGGGGTGCGTAGCGCGGTGTGTGTTTGTGTAGCGTTAGCCTAATATAAGGCTTTTAATACAGTACTACTTTTGTCTAATGTCACAACTAAATCACCCTTTACGGCATATAATCAATGCTGTGTCAACAAAACAAGATGAAGCAAAAATCAAACATACCTGACTTTGAAAACTTGAAATGATCTTTATTCTTTAACTGACCATTCTAGAATGTTCTTTAGAACAGGTAAACAAACTGTGATGTAATAACGTGGTCCATTGCACCGGTAGACTTACACACCAAATTTCCATACTTACGTTGACACACTGCTGGTTCACCGCCCCACCTTCCCTCTCCATCAGAGACGTTACAGACTCGTGCTTCAGAGCCTCTCGCGATGAAGTAGCCCACGTCACAGGCAGTGACGGCAAAGAGGCCGGTGCCTGGGACGTCCATAGGGAACATCTGACCATGCAGAGGGGCTGGCGGGATGTCCTGGCAAGGACTCACTGTAAAAATTATCATGGATCATGATTATGGGAGATGAAATGAAAAAAGGAAACTAACTTTGAAATTGCAATTTCCGATGCAAAGATTTAGTGTCTTTAACTGCACAACACCAGGCTTTATATATATATATAGCACAAACAGCCATTCATAATATGAATTTTACAGGTCTCATATCGTTTTCAATTCTGGCTGATAGTAACAACTAAAGATAGAAAGTTATATAATAAAAATTGCTTTATCTTATTAACATCCATGTCCATAATATCACCAGGGTCCATAATATCGCCACCTTGAGAAATAGTGTGCTTTAAGATATTTCTACTGCAACATACTTTTGGTATGCACTCCTGCATACTTCAAATATACATACGTAGGGTATGTTGCAGTAAAAATATCTTTAAGCACACTTTTTCTCAAGGTGGCGATATTATGGACCCTGGTGATATTATGGACACAGATGTTATAGGGCATGGGCAAAAAAATGCATTGACAGCAAAAATTTATCTATTACATGCATGCAACATATATGTGTCAATGTATTGTGACTGAATATAATAAAAATATCAAATATATACATTTGAGCTGCTTTCTTTTAGAACTTTAAACTATTAGGGAGAGAGAGAGAGAGAGAGAGAGAGAGAGAGAGAGAGAGGGGGAAAGACAGAAATAGACACAGAGAGAATGAGTGTGTAACTCACAGACACATTCAGGCTGGACCCCCGTCCACTGTTGGTTTGTCCCACATGTCCTGGCAGCTGAACCCCTGATGTGGTAGCCAGCATCACACCAGAACCTCACCGTACTGCCAACTGCACTGTCTGTGTTACTATGGTGGCCAAAGGTTGGTGCTTGTGGGGTGGGGCAAGGTAAGCTGTGCTCATCTATGGAACAGAACACTATGTGTTAGAAAACAAATTTTTCACCAAAAACATGGTTATAAAGAACCCCACCCTGTACTATCCTGTACTATCCCTTTCCTTGGTGCTGAAGCACCATACCCACCCTGTACTATCCTGTACTATCCCTTTCCTTGGTGCTGAAGGATCATCCCACCATGTACTATCCTGTACTATCCCTTTCCTTGGTGCTGAAGGACCTTCCCCACCCTGTACTATCCTGTACTTTCCCTTTCCTTGGTGCTGAAAGACCTTCCACCACCCTGTACTAGAACAGTTGTGTAAAGGAAACCTTTATCAAGTTTCACAGTAGACCAAAAAGTACAAACTTGAAGATAAGACACATTTTTGTAACAATGACGTTACCTACTTACATTTACACATTGGTACATTGTTGTCCCACTGATACACATACACGCTTCCAGGCACACATGTCAGTGTAGCTGCCCCGACCAAGTAGTACCCAACGTCACAGGAAAATGAGACAGTGTCTCCAGGCTGGAAACTGTCGCCTTGTCGCTGCCCATGTACCGGTGATCCAGGGTCTCTACAGTATCCAGCTGAGAAACACAAAAATTCATCACTATAATATAAATATACACTAGACTTTCCCAGCATTCACCACAATGAACTTGGAAAGAAAATTTAAATACATATTGACTTGTGACAACCCCTACATGCTATACATAGGGATATATATTAAAGACTGTATGGATATTAGAAACTATTGTATAAGTTGATACCTATCTCATACTAGCCACCCACTTTTGTATTAGATTAGCCTTATGAAAATGTAGTTGACATGTACTTGCTTAAGTTAGTAGATGCCATACTTTGTGCACTGTACAATTGTTGCGCAATAAAGTTATTTATTTATAAAACAATAATCTCCAACTACAAAGTTTGTTCTGTAAATAATTTCATCAGGTTGGTATACATGTTGTAAGTGATTGATATAAGCAGTAAAGTTCCTTTATTCCTAGCTCCATGAATGCTAGCTAGCTAGCTTAAACCTATACAACTCCAATGTTACCTGCACTAACCTGCATAGACCCAGTACATGGACCAGTGCAGGTTAGGTGCAGGTAGACATCAGAAATACCTGCACATCCCTAATAACTTACCTGCATATTGTACCTGAATCGTCTGACCATTTCCAAAATCATATCCAGTTGCTTGAGTAACTGTTTTTTTGTGAATTAACTTTAAATCTGCTTCAAAACGATATCACATGTCACATAACAGACTTACTGGAATAGTAGAGGTTCAGAGTGCTTCCGCGAATGTACTCTCCGTAGTACACTATTTCAGCTACAGTGTTGCTGCCGCTCGTAGCATTCACGATGAATGGGTTGTTACTCGGGCGCCAATTAGTTTTGGTCAGTCGTAGAAGTTCTGTGCCACCTGGAGAAAAGTGTGCATTATTAGCAACAGTGTGAAGAAAAGAGTCTTGCACTGTCTTGTCTCTTACACCAACAGATTCAGTTATTTACGTTCCTTAGTGTCCCCTCCTTCAGTTACCCTTGTTTTTATTTGTACCGGTCACTTGTTTTGTAATTAACACATGTGCAGCTGCAGTAATCCAATGTAAATTGGGCTTAGCAGTATGAAAGAGAACCATCCATTTATGTGACTTGGAAAGAAAACTTAATTACTTCTCGACATAAGTCAGTTTCAATTACCAAAATTGGCTTTTGTTTTGTTTAAAGAACATTGACCATCATTACAACAATATGAAAAAGATTGGGTGATTTGATTATATGGGTTACATCCTCTGCGAACCCCAAAACTGATGTGAGTGTGGGAATCAGTTAGAAAACATTTGGCAAAAAAAGTTGCCTTCATTATAAAACCTACGTGGTCATGACTTAAAACTTAGGTTGAACAAATGATTAAACACGCAGTGCATGTTATGGCAAGTTACAGTATGGTCGAAACTTTATTTTTCGGAAACGGACAAAAATTCATGCGTGTGCGGATGTCATGCATATGATCAAATCAACATTCAATGTCAAAAAACACTGATGTGGTGACAGACGTCTGGTCCAGGTCATTGACCTTATCTGTTTTTTTGAAGAAGAAGAGGAAGAAAAAGAGGAAGAAGAAACTGAACAAAAACAATATGTTAACTTTCCTAATCTGCTAAGGTAAACATAAAAAAGTCTAAAGATTTTAATAAAAAAATCTAAAAAATCTAAAGGTTTTGGATATAAAAAAACACTGACCTTGCATGACCTTGATGTACTCGTACTGTGGCCATGTCCAGAAGTAGGTGTGGTTAAAGTACAGGCTGATGTTGTTCCCCTTGGCAGCGGTGATGGTCCAGCGACATCCCCAGATCCCTGTTGTTCCTGTCCAGAACCGCCTGTCCTGGTCAGGCCAGTTCGGAGACTTGATAGACCCATAGCCCTCCTGCTGAGGAATGTCGCTTGTACACTTGGCTGGAAAGAGTTTGAGTTTGAGTTTATTGCGATACCCTTTAGCCCGTTAGGGCTAATCTTCCAGGGCTCAATACACATTATTACACATTACACACACAGTACAAGTATACACATATGACTACAAATTTACATACATGAGGTCACAGGTCAGACAAGGTACTAATTATAGCTAAAATCATTAAACGAGCAAATTATCGGCTAAGTATAAAACTAATATTACCATTACTAAAAAATTCAATATAACAACTATCATTATAATTAAAACCATTAAGTTGCATACAATTGATCGATCATGCTGGAAAGAAATAAATTTAATTTTAAAACCCTAGTCCTGCGGCACCCAACAATTGTTGGGTTGCACAAACAGTACCATCCATATAGCACCCTGTATAGGTACAACTTGGGGGTATTTCTCGTGCAAAGCATCACACTGCAGCGAAATGCAACGAATGCAGAAGTAACTACCCCACCACAGGGCAAAAAAAGGTGAGGGGTCTATGACCTGATTAAGACTTGAAATTATTGAAAAATAGTGTGTAAAAAAAATGCCAGCAGGACATACATACATGTATTTATTTATTTGGCTGTAAAAATAACAAATTGTACAGCCAGGGCAGCCCAACTAGCCAAGAGGCTATTATTAATTAAAGGGCTTGCCCTGCTGACAAGACAAACATTTACACATACATTACAACAATACATACATGTAAAATGTTATTTTACAGTCCTGTTACAATTGTTCTGCACTGCTAGAACACTATTAGCACAAACCTTACCTTCACATGTGGGTATTGTAGAGTTCCACTCAGCCAGTAGAACTCCTTCCATAACAGGCCCCTCTGCCTCCATACAGGTTATGTACGTACTTCCCACAACTTCAAATCCATCCTCGCAACGGAATTCCAACTGGGAAGGTGAAAAAAATGGGGTGGAAAACATTGCAGCATTACTATATTTACTATATAATACTATAATCACTACCTCAGGCCACACACATATATTTGTTTCATTCTTGTCAGGTATTGTACAGTGAGAATTTACATGTACTACAGGACAGAATTGAAAATAGAAGACTAAAGGAGAAAAAAATGCATACAACTATATAGTACATGAACTCCCTGAAACTCACTGTGACAATGGTACTTTCACCGAGGTGACATTGAAAATTACCAGCATCAGACAATACACTATTTTTTTTGTTCAATACACTATTCATAGGTGGAAGGAGTTAATGCAGCTAATAAAAATCCACAAAAAGACATCAAATTCTACATAAAACCCAGTACATGGACCAGGGCAAGTTAGGTGCAAGTAGACACCAGAAATACCTGAGTGTGCAACTCGAGTTTTACCTGCATTAATGTATTTGTGCCCTGTGCATGTATCTCAAGTGAACAACATGGCATCACTGTGGTCTCTAGAAAGAAAAGATACCTACAGTGTCTCCGATCTTGTAGGGACCCGTCTCAGGAAGCCGTTTAGCGTGTTGTGGCGTGCCTGGGTCGACACACTCCCCAGCTAGAGGAGTGCCTGCAGGGATGACTGAAAGGGAAAAATCAGTCAGTGTTATGAATTACTTTATTTTATTTTATTTTATTCACATTAAATTTTTTTTATTTTCGAGGATTGGGCAAAAAGTTATGAAACTTATGTCAGCCCTCTCCTCACACATAAAAGGAAACAATAAAACAAAGTATAATTGATAATAATAATAAGAAGAAAGGACAAATGTACATAATGAGCTGTTGTACAAATCAAAATCAATCAACTAAATCAAACAAAATGTCCTGGTTGCAAAATAAAGTTGAAAACCACATCAAATATTTTACAGTTGCTATAAGTTATCATAATGCCTTTTGAAATCTACGTAGTCATGAAGGTTGAACATTCAAATGTCTTAAAAAAACATACAGAGTATGGTTGGTGTATTTTGAATCAAATTTAAATTTCTTCACATTGAGTTTGGCAATGACATCATTATCTTTTTCCAAGATTATTTTGCAATTTACATCATATTTGCTCATTTTGCAGCTGCATTGTACGATTTACAGTATGGTCAAAAACCTTTTCTTTGAAACTAACGAAAGTTAATACTGATACACACACAGATGTCATCCATATAATTAAATCAACATTGCCTTAAGGTCAAAACGAACTATGTAACAGGTCAGGGCGATCTGAACGCCATGTAACTGACCTGAGGGCACTATGCACTGGAAAGGTATATAAGTGAGAACTTCATGCACTTGTGTCATTAGCCTCTGTACACTTGAAGAAGCCACACAGGCGAAACCGGTGACAGGCTGAATAAAAGTTCTAAATGGGAACTATGCGACTCCAGATGTCTTACTGAGGGACGACTGCGTGTGCGAGATGTCGGTTACTAAGCTTGAGGAATGAATCCCCTCTAATATAATTGGTTACGACATGTGAACTGATTGGCACACTAACATCTGTAGTGCATGCGGAAGCCTGCGTTGTTGGACGTGAGGTTGGCCGGGCCGTACAGGGAGGACCAGTACGTGCGCAAGATGACGGAAACGTCGTTGGAGAAGGTGGTGATGGGATCAGGGTGGGCGGGGTACGCAGTCGTCTGGGAGCCTGTCCAACTGAAAAATGGAAGTCAGATTTTTTAATCAAAATCCTTTTCACACCTATCAGAGTATAATATTGTGGCTGTCAAAATTTGGGGGTCTATGATCTATTATAAGACATGTAATTATTGAAAAATATTGCCAGCAGGAGGCCTAGTGATGCATACCTAAACCCAATTTTAGGTTCAGGTCCGGATTCAAGTCCAGAGGTTTAGGTTCAGTTCCGGACTTGTAATTCCGGACCTAAACCCATGGCATATACAAAATTGCATGTTGGCAACCTTGCAATGTTGTCTGGGTGAAACTTTGGGCACATAACATGGAGGCTGGTACTTGACGATGCACGATGGCAATGTTTTCTTCATTTTGCAGCAAAGATTTTACAATCTACGGAAGGTTTTAAGTGGTTTGGAAAGAAAAGGGGTATGTGAAATGGTCTTTTATGGTAATAAGTCTGGACTCGGTTCTTGACTTTTAGGTTTTTTTGGACTTGAACCTAAACATTCTTACAAGTCCGGATCCAAGTCCAGTGAACCGGTATGCATCACTAAACAGGACAAGGGCTTAAAGTTGAACTTCCTACCTGTACGTTACCACATCTCCCTCTCCAACCTGCAGAAAGTCGTCATCGAAGTATGCGTGGAGCTGGATAGTCTCAAACTCCAGAAGCACGGTGTAGCCCGGAGGAGCCTGGATGTTCCAGCTACAGTCTGCCGGGATCTCGAAGTAGTCCGGGTACCGGCCAGGACTGGTGATGACGCCGGTGGGTCTCGTCAGGTTGCCGCCACAGTCCGCTGTTAGTTGGATATTACATTATATTATATATTTGTATGAATACATATAGAATGATACTACAAGGTGTACTCTGTATCACCCTAAGTACCATCCTATTTCTTATACAATGTCTTTCCTATTTCTACAATGAAATATAAATATATTTAATGAAAAGACAAGACCCAGAAACACATTAGTAAGTGGGGTAGACTTCTATATTATCCTTTTGATTGAAGGTTTCTTTTGTTGATAGGGTTCCTCCTCATCAGTACTTGCATTATTTCATCTTATCATAAGACCATAGACCATTGTTTCCTGATTAAATGTTTCAGTTTTGTGGTTTTACATGCATGTGTGTTACATGTACTTACTTTGTGTATGTGCCAATGCTTTCTGTTCAATATATTTTTTGAAAATGAGAATCTTCTACAAACTTGCCAAAAAAAGCTATAGAAAACCACCAGCATTTACGTTACTGTTTATAAGGTCAGACTACATATACGTACCCCTGCAGAGTGCCCTTGGATCCTGGTAAGGGTCCCACCATGCCCTGGTGCCGTCCGAATGGGACTGACACAGCAGACTGACGTGAGCCCTCTCGTACGGGTGATAACCGTCGTCGCAGGCGTAGTGAACTGTTTCTCCCGCGGGGTACGTGCCGTTGAAAATGAAGTCTGGAACGAGATGTCCGTTCACGGGACTGCCTGGATCCTTGCAAGTATCCGAGGACACAACTGAAGACAAAAGATTCAAGCCAGGTTTATTTGGAGTTCAAACTTTTGTTCCAACACAAGAAATAAACTGGTGGATGTCCCAACTACTAAGTACCTAATACCAGCCCAGAAGAGAACAAGAAATAGCCATGCATTCAAGTACCAGAGTTATCAACCAAGGATTGAGGTGTTCAAGAATTCATTCTTTCCTAGAACTATCGCAGAGTGGAACTCGCTGTCACCAAGTACAGTAGGGGCATTGTCAATATATAGCTTTAAACAATGTCTAGAGCTAGAAGTTCAAGGGCTAGGTGTAACAAGTCGATTGGTGTAATATAGCCAGCTGTCATTGCGCCGCGTGCCTGCGAAGCTGGTGTGTTACGCCGAAAGGCGGTTATACCGGCTATACAGATACAGATGCAGATGCAGAAGAGAATACGTGTATTTTTATGTGTATCCAATATTACCTGAAAAACAGGCCAAAATGGCCTGAGCTGTAATTACTAAATAAATTGAAATTGAAACTTCCTGAGAGGGGTGAAAGAGGTTTATACATGATCACCCTTCATTCATCAATCAACCACGAACGTTGTTTACCAGATACATGTACCGTTGACCCAGTGTTGACGTCACACTTCACAGAAGCCATGTGACAATATTATTGTTTGATTAAAAAGTTGATGGAGTGTACAGCACAGTTTTTAACTGGTTAACCATGAACATTCAAAGAATTTAGCTTGACATGAAATAATCAATGGCAATGTACATGTACTTACATCTGTAGTAAACCTGAAAACCGCGGCCCCTTGCATACTGGTATGTTTTAAACAGGATTTCAAACTCATTCAGAGCGCTCCAGTGAGTGTGGTTGGTTTCCAGACCTTCTCTACCCAAGCTTCCTTGATAACTGCAGGCAAAACATTACAAAATGTCATCACAAAGTCCTTTCGCGAATCTACTACAGATCCTTCCTTCATACATACAAATTATATATTTTTTATTTCAAGACAATTCAAACTACTGGATAAATTACAGAGATTATTTTTGCATGTTTTGGATGACATCCACCGCTTTTCTTCAGCATTACTAGAGTTTAAATTGATTACCTAGATCAGGCTGGATGTCTAACATTCATCAAACTATGTAAATTATATATCACATTCCTATGGAATCCAATGAAGTATTTATGGACAGTGCTCAAATTACGAGGAAATTTGGTGTCCCTAAATAAAAAAAACATCAATTTCAACGTCCCAATCCGGTCTTCTGTTTTGTTTGGAAAACCAGTATATATGATGCAAAAATTGTGTTCAAATTATTCTGTCTGATGGAACTTTTAGAAGCCTATACAGGTACTAGTTATCATATGGTCTTGAACACCTGCATCAAACATTATGTCATACCTGGGCCGCGATTACGTTCAATACGGGTGTTCCGGCCAATGTGATGACTAGCGGTACGGCCCGGGGGTTCTGAACGCGTACGACCGGGGCTTCTAAATGTTCCATACAACGATTCGAACGCGTTTCGCGTGCACCGCTTTAGAAAATTCGAATACAAAATTCAGACGTTGGAATTGATGTTGTTGCATTCTTTGGTTTTACTAGGGACACCAAATTTTCGCCCATTTTGCATTAAAAGGCGTGTTTTCTTGGGTGGGTATGACATAAATAAGATACAACACGGTGTATTCCGCATCACCCTCGGTCCCGGCCCTCCCGCGAGTCGGATCGCCCTCCGGCCTTCGGGCGATCCGACGCGCGGTCGGGCTGGTACCTCGGGCGATACGGAATACACGTGTTGTATTCTATATTTATCACAGCCCTGGTGAGGTATGACATACTATAATGTAATGTACTTATATATATAATTACATTCTCCATTCACATCCCCCACCACAAATGTGGTGCCAGTTGACATCATGGAATATCAGCTCATCTGTGGTGCTGGTGTCCAGGTCTAGGATAGTCACTGAGGAGGGTGGATTAAAAGGCTTCAGAATATACAGAGAATATATATTTAATATGCAACATCAAAGAATATACAAGTTACAACACTGACAATTATTAATTGTTGGAACCTTTCTTTGTTATAATCATCTATCATATCAAATACTTTCATAATGTCATCTATACCAACATGTAGATGAACTTTATAATAGTAGTAATACAGATTTAGGTATAGATCTACAAATGCACTGCACAGTATAAATTATCTATGAATCATTCTGCATGTACAAGTGTAATTTAAAACAATCTATAAATCTCCTCTTCCCAACAAATTCTCAGGACTGAGTCTGACTTATTTATGACATACATATGGCTCAAATATGTACACAGGGCTCAAAATACTTGTCTGAAACAGCAGCTATAATTGCACAGCTACATGTATGCACAAATAAACCTAAAAATGCAGGTGGTATTTTGAGCCCTGCATACATGTATAAAGAAAGACCATTGGCTTTTTTTTCACAAGTTACAAGATCTATGTAACACATATTTTAAAGACATAAACTTAACGTTATATGTAGACATCCCCTATGTAAGAAACAGGAGGAGCCAGTAAAAACCCTTCTGGTCCTGGGCCGGGTTTGAACCCACGGCCCCCGGGCACCAGAGCTTCATAACCAGACGCTCTAACCTCTCCGCTAAAACCTTTTCGGCCGAGCGGTTAGAGTGTCTGACTGGGGCCTGGGAGGTTGTGGGTTCGAACCCCGGCCCGGGACCAGAAGGGTTTTTACTGGCTCCTCCTGTTTCTTACACCTACTTGCAATGACATTCCTCCATGGTGCCCGTATGTTCCATAAACAGCGGATACCAGGGTAGATCCTGGACGGGTAAGCTGGGCTCTCGATAAACCCTGTGGAGTTGGTCAGGGTACCACCACAGGACTGGGCTAAGGGAAAATATCATTCATGTTAGCATGAAGGTTCATCTGTGTTGGTACAAATCATTATGAAATAAAGACTGAACTTTAACTTCCAACACTAGATATAGAATATAGGACCGCTACTACGGTCACGTGTCTCTGACGTCACGTTCCAAGAGTAGACGGGTCCATTCCGTGAACAAGGTTGATGGAGTCAACCGAAAATTTGGGGTATTAGTCCCAATTCTATATCTAGTGTTGGAAGTTAAAGTTCAGTCTTTATTCCATAATCATTCATGTTACTACAATGACAATCATCTTTATATATAGTAGAGGGGATTCATTCCTCAAGCTAATTATAACTGACATCTCACACACAGAGGCTTTAAGTTAATTAATGACAGAAGTGCATGAAGTTCTCACTTATATACCATTCCAACTTGCATATTGTATGAATCCCCTCTACTATATACTGCATACTTCTCAATGGATCAGGATCCTTAATGAATCCCCTCTACTATATACTACAATGACAATGATCTTTATAATAAAGTTAAAAGTACATGTAGTGGCAATGCATATTCATGCCCAAAAGGATCATAACAGTAAAGACATTTTGTAGAATAGATGCTAGTACATGTAACAATATTGCAAGAACTGTGAGACTCAGACAGTTGTGTATGTTGATGCTATTGTTTGAGTTCTGGAGCATGCAATCATGTGAATCAGGATGCAGGATGTTGTGCACAGACTCTGTTGTAAAAATTATAAAGTCCTGAATTTCCTGGATAGGACATACGCTGAGGAAAGCCAACACTTATCACTCAGCAGGCCCTGACCTGGAATCCACAGGGTAAGAGGAAGAGGGGTAGACCCAAGAACAGCTGGAGAAGGCACGGAGGAGGAGATGAGGAGCATCAGCACCAGCTGGCAGGACCTGAGGAAGAAGGCCCAGAGACCAGTACAGTGGAAGAGCATCATTGGTGGTCTATGCCCTGGCAGGGGCGAAGTAAGTAAGAAGTTCTTCTTCTTGGAAATATTTGAGAGAAGTTGAGCTGATTGAGCTGAGTTGTCCCTCTGTTTAGAAGTTGCCTACACGTGTTTCAACTAATTTTGATCGATAAAAACTTGATATAACGTCCTTGATACAAGTATGGAGGTATAGCATGATACAAGCAAGGATTACAAGCAGCACAACTTGTGCACAACATGCTCACCTGTTGCTTGCGGCACTCCACGGACTGCCAGCACGACCAAAACAACGAGCAAATCGAACATTCCTCTGTGGGCCATGATTAAGCTATTCCCCTAAAACCTCCCTTTTTGCTACGCTGGGAACAGCACGCAGCTACACCTACATATTTACACCTGCGGGGAGTGTCCGGATGTTCCTGTTACTGGATATGGACTCTGCTCGGGTCAACGTTCGACCCTGACCTCCGGTGACTCCTGAGCTTCGTGTGAAAACCGCTAGATGGCGCTTTGCACTGGTCTTCCTTTTCCCAATCTCTCGTTTCACGTCTAAAAAATGATAAAACTTAGAAATTCACCTACACTAGAAAAGTATGAATCTTAAACGAGCGGCTGACCCATCTGGCTCAAAAATTTCCCACTTGTTAACAGCTTTTCCAGCTTTGTGGTACTTGCTGCTCTAAATCTGCAGTTTGGTATCAAATTGGTAGAGGTCGCTGCTGAGGTGTTGTTCTCGGATTGTGGTTGGTTGACTGGCAACGGGTCACGAGGGCAAATTTCAAAATGTCGGACGCACAACTGGTTTTTGAAATGTGGCGTTGACAAATTGTTTCGCCACAGTTACGATATTTTGAGCCCGTGTGAGGTCAGAGAGACATCAGAAAGTACGGTAAGTAGCAATCCTTTAGAAAAATCGTAAACGACGCTGTCCCCTTCGCTTGCAAATGAATTTAGACGGAACTTTCGACCAGCCCAGTCTTTGTTTGAAGAGGGGGAGGGGGGCATTGTTGACATGTTGACAAGACTACTCACTTGGTGGGTTCCGAGAGAGTTTCCTAGCCAGAGAGGCGAACTTTGTGTTACTTCATTTTATAAAGATAATCTGCTCTATCGTTTCCTTCTCTGAAAATTGTTGTTACTTTTTAATGTGCTACCGAAATATCTTCGTAGTTCTGTCCAAAACTATAGACATAGTATAGTAACGTTTATATATAGAACACGACATGATGATGATGATGAGAAGACGACACAAGGTAAATATCCTCCTAATCTTGTGCAGCAAGTTGAAACTGTAATTTCCAACACAAAAAATTGGACTCACAGAAATTTTGGACCGTAGTGTACATGTACAATTCCAGTATTTGTCAAGGAATGAACAATCCACTGCTTCCGTGACGTCACGCAGGTAACATATGACTCTGTGAACAGTGGATCGTAGGATCCTCCTAATCTGTTTTGAAATAATTTATTTAATTACAGAGGATCAGCTGATTGAAGCTGAGCTGAGTGGAGGAGGGGGATCAGTGATCGTTCACTGGCAGTGCTATGGCCGTGACAATGTCCGGCCACATGAACCGAGACCCGTGCTCCGGAACGGGACTGTACGCCTACGACGAGCACAGACCGGTCCCAAAGGTAAGATCTTAAAATTAGAACTAACACCCCATTCAGACTGGATTCCGAATTCTGTATCTGTATGTGTAACACACCAGCTTCTGTATCAGTATAGCCGGTATAACCGCCCTTCGGCGTAACACACCAGCTTCTGTATCAGTATAGCTGGTATAACCGCCCTTCGGCGTAACACACCAGCTTCTGTATCAGTATAGCCGGTATAACCGCCCTTCGGCGTAACACACCAGCTTCTGTATCAGTATAGCCGATATAACCACCCTTCGGCGTAACACACCAACTTCTGTATCAGTATAGCCGGTATAACCGCCTTTCGGCATAACACACCAGCTTCACAGCCACGCGGCGCGTCAGCAGCTGGCTATATTACACCAAACGACTTGTTACACCTAACCCTTGAACTTCTATTATAGTTCTAACTCTAGACATTGTTTAAAGCTATAATCTAATGATAATGCCCCTACTGTACTTGGTGACAGCGAGTTCCACTCTGCGATACTACGTGTGATATAGTTATATAAATATACATTAGAAAGAGAATTATAACTTATAAGACAAGTTAACACACAAATACTCCGCAGGTCCGACCAGAGGCGCAGGATTACTATGAAAGCGGCACGAAAGGCAGCGTGGGTCTACTGTTCGAGTTACAGGGGATGTCCATACGACCGCGCTCAAAACCACGTGAGTATGCAAGTCGTAATTTTCTCCCATGGTACCACATTTCCCATATTTTCGTATGACATAATAACAAATAACTTACATCATTTTCGAAGTCGGCACACTCGGCTCAGGAGAGATGCATTCCACTCATGATATATGATAATGATAGGAATATACATAATAGCATTAAAAAGAGAATTATGAGACAAGTTAACACACAAATACGAGAGCGGCACCAAAGGCAGCGTGGGTCTACTGTTCGAGTTACAGGGGATGTCCATACGACCGCGCTCAAAACCATGTGAGTATGCAAGTCGTAATTTTCTCCCATGGTACCACATTTCCCTCTATACTGTATACATATTTCCGTATGACATAATAACAAACAACTTACATAATTTTTCTAAGGTGACACACGCAGCTCAGGAGAAACGCATTCAAATTATTCTTTGGAACTTTTGGAAGCCTGTGTGTTGACCACCCAAGTAGAACCCCAGGCTGTGTGATACTGTAACTAGCTGAGTTATTCATATAGAATACAACACGGGTTATTCCGTATCGCCCGAGGTGCCAGCCCGACCGCGCGTCGGATCGCCCGACAGCCGAAGGCCGGGGGGAGATCCGATCCGCGGGAGGGCTGGGACCGAGGGTGAGTTTTATTTACGTCATACCCACCCACGAAAACACGCCTTTCAATGCGAAATGAGCAAAAATTTGGTGTCCCTAATCCCCAAAAAACGCAACAACATCAATCCCAACGTCCGAATTTTGCATTCAAATTTTCGAAAGCGTTGCATGCGGTTAGGGCGAAACGTGTTCGAATCGTTCTATGGAACATTTGGAAGGGCCGGGCCGTACCGCTAGTTATCACACAGGCCGGAACACCCGTATCGAACATTATCGCAGTGCACCGGTATGACATAACCATCTATGACACATTATATTCTGTATGGTACCTTCTGTGTCACACAAAGAAATAAAAATCATAAAACCATTGTTGAGACTGATCAAATGATGAATATAGCGATCAATGGCTACAGGTCACGGAGAGTTAATAATGCCACACCTGTCCATTGTTATAGGTGTCAAGAACAATACTGAGGAAAGTGTTCAGGTGTCATAATATGTAACTGTTCACCTGTGCCCTCTTTTATTTAAATACATCATGTACTAGTATCTACTTTTAGTACTACTAGTATAGATATTTATGACAAAAATACATGTATTAGTACCAATGAGGTCTCTCTAACCTGGTATTTTAAAATTAATGTAGATTTTTTGCCTGCCAACTTGACCTGGCAAAATGTAAATTTAAACTACAGTCACCAAGTGTTGGTACCTAGACTACTAGTACTAGAGAGACATACTGACTCTGAACTGAACCAAGCGTAAAACTGAGCACCTAGAGACCACGTCTAGCGACGTGTCGCTCAATGCAAGGCCAATTATTTTTGGCCACTTCTAGGCATAGAGCTAGAGGTATAGAACTGTAACAGCATCTCATCTCCCTGAGTCAGAAACATCATGATTGAGACCAGCCAAATTTCTCACAAGTAGTGAGGACTAACTGACCCAATAGGAGAAGCAGTATTAAAAAATAGCTAACGTTAGAGCACTTTCCAGTGTCTACTACTGAAAGATTCAACATATTTGCTAATTACTAGTAGTATAGTAAACTTTAGACAGCAGCTTGTGAAGGTAAGGATATGTATCTGTCTATTCAAAATGAAGCAAAGTTGTCACATTTATTTATGAAAAGAACAATTGTCTTCTGTTGAGATGATCTGGTCAATGGGAATGCATTGAAAACCTTTCAAAAGTGATCATTATTGTTGTCCATCGTGGTTGCAACTGTTCATAAATTATTCAATAACTGTCATTATATCTTAGATGGCGCATGTTATATATTTAGTTTCTTACATAACGTAATTGTTTAGACTTCAGAGTCCCATTTTGTATATCAGTCTGTCTTGAGGTTGAAAAATCAATGGAATGAGCTGCAAGTTACAAGTAACTTTATGTCCAACACTAAGTAAATTGGAACTTACCCAAATTTTGGCTAACTCCACTAGCCTTGTTCACGGTATTTGGGTAAGTCCCAATTTACTTAGTGTTGGACATAAAGTTAAGCCTTTTCGCCATAGTTCTCAACTTGGTTTTGACACTTTGCTTTGCATCCCATCAGCGCCCAGACCAGCCGACCACATACGCGAAAACGTGCGCCGGATGCGGCAGGTCCAGCGGGACAGCCGGCGCAGACAGGAGGAGGCCAACAAACCCATGAAGCCGCTTTTCAAGTCTGCCAAGTGGGAGGGGGTGGAGTCTAAAGTCAAGAAAAACATAGAGGTAAGAGTGAGGGGAAACCTGTTGGATGGGGCTCTTTTCTCTGTCCATGCAGGACCAAGTCAAGAAGTAGTTTTAGTAAAAATCAGTTAGTAGACAACAAGTATAAATAATATACCTTTTTTTGCTGTTGCTCACACGCCCAGTAGTGCTTGAATTACCCCTTAAATTCTCCACTTTGTGCAAGTGCAGTTTATTAAAAAAACTGTAATTTTGACTGCACTTGCACCAGTGAAATTTAAGCTTATAAAGTGTACAGTATTTTGGTTTGATTTGTAATCCGTGACCCCGCCGTCACCCTCGACCTTGTTGAAAAGCGGTCGTATGTATGTACCGAACAAGCTTTCGAGTTTAAATAAAGGCTTACTACTACTACTACTACTACTGCTGCTACTACAGACTATTTAAATCACTACAAATATCCAGTAAAATAATTGACCGGTTGTAAACATTTGGGAAGCTTTCAGCATGGAATTTCCTCCTAAATGACGGACTATGGAATAAGAAAGGGTGATTTTCTTTCATAGTAGTGGCTAAACATGTCCTGGCAGAGAAACTTCAAAGTGAAATAATGTTTGGTTACAGCAAAATGTGTCCTCTTCCCAGAGCCCGTGGCCGACACCCAGACCAGAGTCTCGGAACTTCCTGAGGTCCCACTCCAGACAGGGTCAGCCCAGACCGCGGTCAGCCAGCCCGGGGCTCAGACCCAGGACCATGTCGGCCGGAGCGGTCAGACCGCAGTCCGCACGCGCTACGTCCGGTGCGGGGCACAGTCGGCGCAGTCCGTCACCGTGTACCCTTGACAACGGTGGCAAGGAGAACGGGAGGAGGGGAGAAGTGCCTCCGTTAGAGGTGGGAGAAAACTTTGAAGTGTGATCAGTTTTATCTTTCAATTACTGTAATTCAATGTTCATGGTAGCAAAAGTTCACGGTCTGAGAAAAATGGACATTTTCACGGAAGTACAGATTCACGGTGGCGACAGGTGTAGGAAAAAGAAAGTTCTGAGGAATCATTTGTTAACTGTAATGATAAGTTCACGGTATAGAAGTTACAGTGAAAACAGTGAACATAACAGTACAATGAAAAAATTAGGAATTACAGTATGTAGAATGTGTTATTTTTTTCACGAGGAATAAAATGTTGGCAGCCCAAGGGCTGAATTGTACAGCCTGCTTACATGATGAACTCCAGTCAGAAGCTCTGAGGAAGGTGTCTGACAGGCACCGAAATGTCAGCAAGGTAAACGGTTTGGTTGTGTAAACGAAAACTCTTGCATCCTATACTTAGCCAACTTGATGAAGCTATTTTCGGAAAAGTTCTTGAGAAATTACAAATACACGTACAATCACAAAATTATTGAGAGTAGGAGCAGTCTAGAACAATATAGTAAATTCTCTGAGCTAAAACCATGATTTCTTCCTGATATTTTTTGTGTTCAGGTGACAGGTACAAAGACAGGCAGTCCCACACGAGACGATGTTGATTTTGTCGCCCACAACGCTCGGAGGGCCTGGAAGGACTGTAACAGGCTGAAGCGACCGCCCACACAGATGGCACTGCAGGATTTGGAAGACAGGAGAAAGAAAGAACATGACACCTACAAGAGAGGAGAAGTACCTAAATAGTGAGTACTTTTCTCGTAGATTGTCTTGTCAGGGCTCGAAATACTGGGTGCATGTTTACCTTAGTGCACCCAAATTTGGAGCTGTGCACCCAATTTTTTTCTTCAAATATTTTTGTAGGTTTAATGTATGTAAAGATGTTAAATGTATAATAGTTACAGCATATTCTTAACATTTAAGTGTCAGAAAAAAAATGATACAATCATTGTTATAGTCCTTTTCTTGAAATGAATAGAGTTTTTGCTGACATTCTACTTATTTTATCTTATATGGTGCACCTAAAATGACCTTTACACTTTAACCTCAAACAACATAGTAACAGACAGTTGTCAATCTGAAAATAATGGTACATACTTCAGGTAAGTAGAACATAGGATATAGGGATTTTCCTTACACAACCAGTTATGTCTGTTACCGTATAATTATCTTCCTCAGAGCTTCTGACTGGAGTACTGCTTCTTGCTGCTATTTGTAGCCAATACAGGTGACACTTTTGTGGCGAGAACACAATCCCAAACGTGTACCCCTCGTTCCAGTTCATCATGTAATCTTATCGTTGGCCATCAAGCTTTTAGGGCCCTGGCCAGTAGAAGGGCTGCCAGAAGCATGAATGTAGCCAGGCTAAGATACAGTAAAACCATCTCTGAACATGCATGTCCCTCCTCAGTTAGAGGGATCCTGAGCCCTACTAGGGTTTGGGTTGGCGTTAAGGGCATCCAGCCGTAAAAATCTTGCTTCAAGAAAAAGACTTGTACTTCGTGCAAGCACGTCTAACCCCCAGTTTGGGGAAAAATGACGTTAAAACGATTTTAAAAAAAGACAGCTGTTACTTTGTCTCCGCAGCTTAAGGAACAGACAAGAAGAGTGGAAGAAGGAGGAGGAGGACAGAATAAAGAACATGCCTGATCCCTCCATGCCCCCGGGACACACCATGATGCCAGAAGCTGAGAGGAAGGAGACACTCAAGAAACTCAAAGACTGTAAGTTTTCATGAAACGGTTGTTTTAATACATTTAGGCCGTGTTGATTTGATTATATGGATGACATCCTCTGGGAACCCCATAACTGATGCCAGCGTGCAAATAAAAAAAGTTTGGCCATTAAAATTTGCCTTCATTATCAAATCTTTGTGGTCATTAAGGTTGAACAAATGACTTAACACACAGAGTATGGTATGCCAAATAATACACTTTTATTTTTAATTTTCATTTCACTTTGGAATTGATTTTGGCATTCTAGGACATAAGAATAGTTTTTCAATATTTTTTGTTAATTTATAGCATATATTTGCTGATTTTGCAGCTGCTTTGTACGATTTACAGTATGGTCGAAAACATATTGGATGTCCAGCGTGCAAAATACCTGGTTGCCCAGTTGCCCCGGGCAACCAAATTTTACTTGGGGCAACCTAATTTTGAACCTAGGTAGCCCAGTGTGCTTCCTGAATTTTAAGAATGCCCCCCCCCCCCCAAATCATGCCCACTTGGCTTGCACCACTGTAGCCTGCAGATGCTTTTTAATTTCAATTTTTAAACCTGGTTCAAAAAAGTATTTTGTACACTGATGTCACACCACCATTTTCTCCTGTGTCCACAGCTGAACAGGACCTGTTGAAACAGATGCGGGAACTGCCCATCGGGAGGAGCGACACGTTACGGATCAAACACGCAAAGGAGGAGCTAGAGAAGAAACTGTCTGAAATCGACGAAGCCATCAAAATATTTTCCAGACCAAAAGTCTTCGTAAAAATTGACGACTAGCAGGCTTGACTGCTCTATAAAGCCAATATGCAGCTCTTGTACATATTTTATTTTGAAGGGGGAGGGGGAAGAGAGATGTACAGTCATGCAAGATACTTACATTTTTTGTGAAAGGGAAAATTTGTCCTACCATGTCATCTTAGGGCTATTGTCTTAATATTAGAAGTGTTTGAGGTGGCACGTGTGTAGTAATATTTATGTCACTTTTAGATGGTGGGACTTTCCTACAATTTGGTTTACTATCTGCTAAGCAGACATGCATGTATTGTACAGTAATGTTTGTGTAGTGTAGAGTACATAGTTTACAGGCATGCAATGCAATTTCAGCTTGACAAAACAAAAAGAAATATTCTGGATGAGGAAATCTATCTGATATTGACATTTACTGCCATTTCTTAGCACATTTTCTGGACAAAGTCTTGATCTGTTAAATATGGACCTGAACTGTTTCTATGTAGAAAAGTATATAGGTTATATACATGTAGTAATGCACAATGGTACTGTACTGTGAATAGTATTTACATTAGATATCTGTTAGTTTTGTAAGACTTCTAACTGTACACCTGAACTGAACACCCCAAATAGTGGTTACATATTATTTTATATTTTGTGTACATTGATTTCAACATCGATATCAGTGTATGTCTTGCTGGCATTTCTTTAAGAAAATGAAAATGTTTTTTTATCAATGATGAGGTTCCTAGAAAGATGAACATAATATAGAGGGTTATTGTTAAAATGGTGTTTAGGGGAAGATTAAATATGAAACGAGACACAAGTGATACACAAATGTGAAGGTATTTTATTTTCTATACATGTGAATAATTGTAAATACACTCCATGAGGGCTTCAAAAATGTTCATTACTATTCCATTCAGAACTTTAGACAGGGTTAGGCCACACCAATTTAATTTCTTGGTTAACGGATTTTTCTAGAAAAATAATGGAGCGGGCGGGCGAAAAAAAAATTAAAATAAAAATAGGCCTAGGCATCCTATTATGGCCCAAAATGGTACGATAGGAGCCATGAAGTCCAGGCTGGTTCAAAATTTAAACAATGAATTTTCAACTTTTAATGATACCATTGCATTGAAAGATGGAATAACTGTAACAACTAGGATGAAATGGAATGTTTTCAACTGTTCAGAGCAAAATATGAGCATTTTGCAGTTGATTCTTAATTTTTATTTGCAAATCAGAAAAAAATGAAGCGGGCGAATCCGTTAACCAAGAAATTAAATTGGTGTGGCCTTAGTTACATACAATTTGAGACACACACACAAAATTCTGATTCAGAATTTTTCCAAATATTTGTAGCATTATAACGGGAGGGGTCCTAATTCCGACCTATGTTCCATCCAAACGCACATACCTTTGGTAATGGTTTGTCTCACCAAAATCCCGCCTAACACGAGCTATAATATTTACAGATAAAGATAACAACGATTAAAGCTAAATAGCTGTGTATTTCACTTTAGTGTGGCGCCTTGCACCCAAGCGTAATGGTTCGCGAAACTTACGGCAGGTTTTTCGTCATTCTGCCGGTGGAACGTTCTATCGCAAAAGGGGTGCCCTAATTCCGACCTAGTATCTAACAAAGGCCAATGTGAGGAGAGAGTTAGGTATCTAAAATACACAAATTATGACTAAAACAATCTATAACTATTTTTCTGTCCCAAACAAGTCTTTTTTGTACCATTACGCTACTTGCTCCAAAGCGGCTGTTTCAAAATCAAAGCTGCGTTTTTTAACACGCTCGTCAACCCCCGAACAAGCGTCGAATTTATACAGATTTTTCAATCGTCTGTTATCGGAGCGTGCGAATTGGAACAAACTTTGTGAGAATACCGATATCAACACAGAAACTTTGTCCATTCTTGTGGTTATTTATAGGCACGTGCTCCCATGCATAGCGCGGCGACAAGGATTTTTCAAACTAGTACGGAATTAGGGGTAGGTCGGAATTAGGACACCCCCCGTTAAGTCCATATTCGTTACTTTTGCACAATGTGATGTAGCTCAGCACATGTAGATACTAGTAGAATGTACAGCACAGTGGTAGGTACATGTACAAGTTAGTGAACTATGCATTGCCGTCCATTCTTATGTCTTGTGTATATTACCATAATAAAGTTTCAGACAATAAAATCACCATTTTTTGCGAATTTCTTGTGAATTTTTCAGTAAATGATAAATGATTCTGTTTATGCATTTTCCTTCTGGTTGTCAGAAGGCTAGTCTCCACCAGACTCCTTAGCAGGCTGAATAAATAGTAGAAATCGGCTAAGGGGAACATCATTGGCCAGAGGAGTTGGCCAGCCATAGAGGGTCCAGCTTGCCTGCCAGAAAAGGAGTCTGGTGGAGACTACATATAGCAGGACATTGAAGACAGGAGGTGAGATAACCTTTGCTGGGACCCTTGGTCTAACTTCTTTATAGTGTCCCTGACGAGCCAAACATGTAAAAATAACTACGTACACACAACAATATACACATGAACAAAAACACCGAAAGTAAGTTTCTTGGGAATTTTCGATTTTACGTACTGCAGTCTTCGTCAGGTTCAAATGACCACTAACTGAAGGCACGTGACCGTAATCACGTGACATCAACAACTTGTTATTTTAGAAAACGTGTTACGTTAGGGTAGCAAGAGTACGAAAACCTTGCTTTCCTTTCTCGGCACTCGGTTCCAGTGCAGAAAGTGGTTTCATCACTGGATTTCCAGTTCTGGGCACTCTCTGAGCACTGGAAATGCTGGCATCAGACAGCACTGGAAACCGAGAGCTCGGGTGCACTGAAAACCGTGTAATTTTATGGGTCTGGAGGATGAACCCATGGTAGCCAACATTTCCATTTGTACGGAAACCGCACTCTCCACGTCAGGGGGTATCTTTCGGCGAGAACACGCTGGTAGTCCCGCGGCACACTCACCCGCTTCCCGCGAAAATTCACCTTTGTCGTGGGAAGGACGAGGCTTTTCAGCAGGTCCACGCTTGCCGTGAGATACCTCAATCCGTGAATAAACGTTTCCCCTCCTCTTCCAACGGAATAACGTAACACAGGTGACGGTTTGTCCGAGTTTAAATCTCCCGCTTTTCCTACAACCAGGTCCCAGTTCATCAGGTCAGCCCTGGCTCCCTTGTACGTGGCTATCATCGCATTGCCTTCGATTCCAAAGTGTCGGAGACGCTTTTGAAACCGGGACCCAAAGGTCTGTAAAACAAATAGAGTCTGAATACTTCTGAACTTGACGTATGTTAAGATATGTCGACAAGGTGTACACATTTTCTTTTCAAAAACATTTTTTTTTCAAGATTTTGCTAATTCTCAAAAAAAAAGACTTATTGAACACCTCAATCCTTGGTTGATAACTCCGGTACTTGAAGGCATGACTACCAGTATTTCTTCTTTTATGAGATGGTGTTACGTACTTGGTATGGCATCGACTGTTTCAAGTGTCATCGACAGTTTACGAGACGGAAATTATGATTATTAGACGGGAATTAGATACGGGATCCGGAGCTGAATATTGGCCACATATTCTGTATCAGTATAGCCGGTATAACCGCCCTTCGGCGTAACACACCAGCTTCGCAGGCACGCGGCGCGGCGGCAGCTAGCTATCACACCGAACGACTTGTTACACTCAATCTTTGCACATTTAATTGTAGGAGTTGTTTAAAGTTTTCTAGTGATGATGCCCCTACTATGCTTGGTGGCAACGAGTTCCAGTCTACGATAGTTCTGGGGAAATACCAGTTTTTGAACACCTCAATTCTTGGTTGATAACTTTGAAATATTCCACCCACCTGTTCAGCAGCTCGTGTCTCCATCTTCAGCCGGCTGATGTCCACGTCTCCGTCATGCGGCAGGACGTCTCCCAGCCTCACGGCGCCCAGCAGCGTCCCGTAATCCAGCCAGTACGTCTGGTTCAACTCTTCAAACACCTGCGAATTTGTAAAATAACTAGAAAGGCCAATATTTGCTTTGGAGCAAATACAGCGATGGGTTCACCACATTTTACGACATGGCAGGGAAAGAATGAGAAACACAAGGGAAAACAATGATTTACATTGATATAACTATAATATGAAGTAAAATACAACTAAAACAACAGTTGGATAGCTATTCCCTACTTTATTGGTTAGGATTTTTAATTGCATAATGCAAACTGTTGATTTTCAAAATAAAAAAAACGTCCATGCCCCGCATTCCAATGCTGGAGCAGGAAAGCTTGAAATACCTACCAAAACACTTGAATACAGACATACTGTCAGTATGGAAATGCTCTGTGCAGGTGTTAATCAAGTTAAATCCCAACAGCCAATCAGCAAGAAATGCTCTGTGCAGGTGGAAATGCTCTGTGCAGGTGTTAATCAAGTTAAATCCCAACAGCCAATCAGCAAGAAGAATAGAGGAAAGCTGCATGCCTATTGGTTGATGCCCTGCATTCCATTGTGATGACTCATGTCCAAACGTGGTAAACAAGGCACGCTAACACATTTGCTATAACACAGCCA